TTGCCCAGGCTGGAGAGCAGTGGTGCCATCTCGGCCCACTACAACCTCTGCCTCCCGGGTTCAAGCAATTCTCCTGCCTCAGCCTCCCAAGTAGCTCCTCCTCCCCTCCTCCCAGCAGCAGGGATTAGGGATGCATTCTGAACCCTGCCCGCTATCAGGGGAGTGAGGTCTGTCCCCAGAGCCTGAGCTGAAGATGCCCGATTCAGCCAGGTGAGCCCCAGGATGGACTCCACCTCCCCCAGCCACCACCTGACTTCCCCAGCACCCGCTGCTGGCACCAGCCCTCCAGATCTCAAAAGCTAGCCCCCCTGCTCTCACGGAGCCCCTCCCTGCCTGCCCTCCAAACCCAAGAGTAGTTTTAGTACAAAAGGCAAAAGGCAAAGTTAACAAATAGGGGTAGGAGTTGGGGGAGGAAGAGGATCAGCGGATCCGGAACAGAGAAACTGGAGCATCTGGAGGTGAAGCGCCTGGGTCCTGCCGCTCCCACTGATTTGTCAGGTGGCCTTGGGCAGGGTCCTCTTGGCAGGGGCTCGGTCCAAGCTTGGAGGTGAACAGCCACCAGAGCAGGGTGCTTCAGCTGTGGCTGCATGCTCCCCACATTCCACTGCCACAGCCCACGTCCATCCTGAGTAGAGGCAGAACAGCCACAGAGCCCCATGTGCGGGGCTGGAGTCACCCTGGGCACTCACCTAAAGGCAGCCTCCTCCTTTCCAAAGCCCAGACTTTCTCCAGACTCCCATGACCACCGAGAGGGTTCCTGTGCCCAGAGTTGGGGGTCTTGGGGAGGAAGGATGCTTTCAGGCCTGAGACCTACTCTGTCTGCTAATTCACCCCATCTGCACAGCCTGGAACTTGGAAGGCCCTTTATAGGGTACCTGGCCAGGGGTCAGAGAGTCACACCTGCGCGCCCAGTGACAGGGCGGGAGAGGCATTTCTAACGCTCCCAGGTAATCCCATGGGCTAGGAAGGACCTCCCGGCTGGGATCGCACTGCCTCCCCCAGTCCCAGTAGATCCCTCAGCAGAGCGAAGGGAATCGGGGCTTTCCCCCAGTGTCTTCAAAGTTTTAGGGAATCCTAGCCAGATACCATTCCTCCTTCCCGAGCCGCGTCCTCGGCTCAAGCCTGGGCCCCTCACCAGGGCGGTCCCAGCCCCAGTGCCCGGAGACCTCGCCCCGCTGCTCCCTGGGGCGCACGATACCCTCCCCAGGAAGGCGCTGGCCGAGGCGCGCACGGAAGCGGACGGGGCGGACGCGCCAGGGTGCTCACCGATACCAGGCGAGGCCACGCTCATAGCACCTGTCGAAGAAGTGGGGCTCGGAGCCGAGCGCGCGGACGTCGGGGTGCAGCCGCAGGAACTCCAGCAGGGCGCGCGTGCCACCCTTCTTCACGCCCACGATGAGCGCCTGCGGGAAGCGCCGGCGGCCGGGGCCAATGGCTTCGGGCAGGTCCTTAGCTCCCGGGCAGCGGACGGAGCTGGAAGGCTCGGCTGGCGCCGGGGCCGGCCCTGGGGCGCGGGCGGCCGGCGGGCAGTGGCCGGGGAGGGCGCAGAGGCAGTAGGCGCCGAGCACCAGGACCATGAGCAGAAGCGGCGCGCGGGACGCAGGCAGAGCTGCCACTTGCCCGGCCCCCGCACTCTGGCCGCCCACGGCCCCGCCGCCCAGGCCGCCGCTACCTGCCATGGGGTCGTGCCGCGCCCTGTCCCGGGAGCGGGGGCGGCAGGAGGGCGCGCATCCCGGCCCGCGCGCCACTCAGCCCGTGGGCGCCCGGTTTCTGCTCTGCGTCCCGCAGCCCCGCAGTCTGGGAGCGGGCGCGGGGCGGGTCCAGAGGCGGGGCCGGGACGCCCTCCCCCTCTTTCTCCCCCTCCGAGGCGACTGCCGGGGCTGGGACCAGCCGGCAGCCGCCACCACCCGGGCGCGACTCGAGCTGCCAGGACTACGAGGACGCTCCCGCTCCGAGACCCCAGGCTCTGGCTCGCTTGGCTAGGGCGTCTTCACCCCTGCGTGGGGACGATGCGGCGGCGGCGGCGGTTCGGGACGCAGGGCAGGAACAGGGCGGCGCGCGGTCTCCGGACCTTCTGTTTGAAAGCGGACGCCACCCCCCGCCGCGACCTACTCAGGTACGTGCGCAGCAGGTGCACGGGCCGAGCCTTGGCCTGCAGGAGTGGGAGCCTCATCGCCAGACCAAGGGGACCGAGGAAGCGTGTCAGTCCGGGCATTCGGCCTGCCAAGGGAGAACGAGGATCGGCCAGCACCCCAGTGTGCAGACAGGGGTCCCAGAACGTGTGGGGGAAGTCTGCGGCCGGGAATGGGGTGCGTCCTACACTCCCAGCTGACAGTCAGCCTTGCCACACATCAGGGTCACAGCCTGGCGGCTGAGAGGCCAAGTCACCTCTAGTTACAGTTTTAGAATGGAGGGGACAGGCTCAGAGAAGAGAGGCTTCCCTCCCAGGGCCCCGGTGGTGAGCTGAATTCAGGCCTGAGACCCACTCTGTCTACTAGTCACCCCATTTGCCCAGACTGGTCCACCTGGCACTCCCCTGAGACGTCAGTGGCGCATTTCGGAAGTTGGCAAAGTGGCCCCCACTGGAGGTGCGGAGGACTCAGGGATCTCTGTGTTGGGAAAGAGAAGGAGCCCAGGACCTGCCTTATGGGCTGCCTCTGATGGGCGTGAGATTCAGGGGTCTCTTGGCTGGGACCTGTGGGACACTGGACACTGCAGGAACCTCACATCCCACCAGGTTCACTGAATGTCCAGCAACAGCCTGCAGGGGAGGCCAGCGGGGCTCAGAGAGGGTGAGCAACTCGACCCATCCCAGGGGAAAGATGGCATTAGACCCAGGTCCTCTCTCTGCCTCTGCCCCAGCCTTCCTGGCTGAAGGGTTGGTGCCAGGCAGGCACAGTCTCCCCAAAATGGCCCGGCATCTTTCCGGCCACTGGCTCGCAGCCCCTGCCCTGAGCTTTGCTCATTAATGAGCCATTCCAGCCCTAATGGTATCTGGACAAGTCCCAGCAGCTGGGCTGCCTCAAAGGGCAGAGGGCCTCCACGACCCACAGACATTCCGCAGCTCCCACCCAGCGGCAGCCCTGGTCAGAGGGGGCCACATGGGGCTGATGGGGTGAAGACCGCTGACCAGACCCCCAGCCTGGGCCCCAGACACACGGGTGGCACCAGCTCGTCTGTGCAAGTCTCCACAGGAGCCCCATGGGCAGGCATTGGGCACGGCTTTGTGAGGAGAGCACGCTGGCACATGCAGGGCACAGGAAGTTCATCTTCTGGTCTAGCTTGACACGGGATTGTTCCAGACGGACTGGCTCGGGGCAGGAGCAGGTGTCCCACCCTGCAACACTCACCCCACAATGTCAGCAGTCCCCACCAAGACTTGAAATTCCAGCACTGATTCCCTGGCCGCCCCTCCAGCCCCCAGCCCAGCCCCGCCATGGTCATGTCCATCTCCTGGCCTTTCCTCTGCCGTCCATCCCCCTGCTGGATGCTTTTTCCTTAGTCCCTGCTGAGGGCCAAAGGACTTTCCAGGAGGAATTGACCGGAACGGCCGGATGTGGAAGGCACTGGGGGCAGGGGGAGAGATACCAGGGACTGGGAGTCAGCTCCGAGGGTTCTGCTGGAAGCTGACCCCTCCCTCCATCTGGCAATCAGCTGATGGGTGGCTGCACTCCCGGGGATGCCCAGGATGGCAGCACCGGGGCTGTTTGTTCACCAGTGGATCCCCAGCACCTAACAGCTTGGGACGGACTAGGCACTCCATTAATGTCGCTCAGTGGAAGGGTATGCGTGGGCGGAGAGGTCGGGAAGGCTTTCTGGAGGTGACAGCCCGGTGAAGAGGAGGAGAATAGCATTTCAGGCCAAGGAACCAAGTGGGTGAAGCCTGAGCAGCAGAGAGCCCCGGGCAGTAGAGGATGGGGTGGAGCTAAAGGCCCAGCAGGAACAGGGACGGGGCTTAGACGCTGGTCTGAGGCTGGTCCAGCCCCGCCTCCTCCTCAGGCTCCTACCAACTCTGAGCCACCAGGTTGTTTTGTTTTGCTTGTTTCATTTTGAGACTGTCTCGCTCTGTCGCCCAGGCTGGAGTGCAATGGCGCTATCTCCGCTCGCTGCAACCTCCACCTCCCGGGTTTGAGCAAGTCTCCTGTCTCAGCCTGCAGAGTAGATGGGATTACAGGCACGTGCCACGACACTCGGCTAATTTTTGTACTTTTAGTAGAGACAGGATTTCACCATGTTGGTCGGGCTGGTCTCAAATTCCGGACCTCATGATCCACCCACCTCAGCCTCCCAAAGTGCTGGGATTACAGGCGTAGCTGCTGCGCCCGGCCCAGACCCTTCTTTGTAAAACGAAGACCCACGGCATGATTCTGAAGGGTCTCTTCAGTAACAGCGTTATTTCGATGTAATTCACACACCATACACTCCAGCCACTTGCCCTGTGCAAATCACTGGTTTTCAGTATATTCACAGTTGTGCAATCATCACCACAATCAATTTTAGAACAGTTCTATCACCCCAAAAAGAAATTCTGTGTCCATTAGTAATTATGCCCTATTCTCTCCCCTTCCCCCAGCCCCTGGCAACCAGGAATCTACTTTCTGTCTCTATGGATTTGCCTTTTCTGGACATTTCACAGAAAGAGAATCATTGCTTGAAGCCAAGAGTTCAAGGTTAACCTGAGCAACAAAGCAAAACACCGTCTCTACAGAAAATTTAGAAATTAGCCGGGCACAGTGGCACACGCCAGTAGTCCCAGCACTTTGGAAGGCCGAGGCAGGAGGTTCACTCAAGGCAAGGAATTCAAAACCAGCCTGGGCAACATACAGAGTCCCAGTCTCTACAAAATATTTCAAAATTAGCCAAGCATGATGGTATGTACCTGTAGTCCTAGCTTACTCAGAAGGCTGAGGTGGGAGGATCACTTGAGCCCAGGAGTTTGAGGCTGCAGTGAGCCATGATTATAACACTGCATTCCAGTCTGGGTGACAGAGTGAGAGCCCATCTCTTAAAAAAGAAATAAATAAATACGGCCAGTCACAGTGGCTCACACCTGTAATTCCAGAACTTTGGGAGGCCAAGGCGGCCGAATCACTTGAGCTCAGGAGTTTGAGGCCAGCCTGGCCAACATGGTGAAACTCCATCCCTACCATAAATTAGCCAGGTGTGGGCTGGGCGCAGTGGCTCACCCCTGTAATCCCAGCACTTCGGGAGACTGAGGCGAGTGGATCACCTGAGGTTCGGAGTTCAAGACCAGCCTGACCAACATGGAGAAACCCCGTCTCTACAAAAAAATACAAAAAATTAACCGGGCATGATGGTGCAGGCCTGTAATCCCAGTGACTTGAGAGGCTGAGGCAGGAGAATCACTTGAACCCAGGAGGCAGAGGCTGCAGTGGGCCGAGATCCCAGCTTGGGCAACAAAAGCAAAGCTCCACCTCAAATAATAATAATAATAAATTAGTCCCAGCTACATGGGAGGCTGAGGCACGAGAATCCCTTGAACCTGGGAGGCAGAGGTTGCAGTGAGCTGAAATTGCACCACTGCACTCCAGCCTGGGAGACAGAGTGAGACCTCATCTCTAAAAAGAAAAAAAAAAAGGAAGAGAATTATACAATAATTTCCTTTTGTGTCTGGCATCTCTCACTCAGCATAATGTTCTCCAGGTTCATCCTCATTGTGGCGTGTGTCAGTGCCTCACTCCTCTTCGTGGCTGACTAGTACTCCATCACATGCGTGGACCACCTTTTGCTGATTCCCTCATTCATGTCTACTGTGGGGCTCTTATGAATAACGCTGCCATGAACATCCAGGTAGGTAGTTTTGTGTGGACATAGGATTCCTGTCTGTAGGGAACATACCTAGGAGTGGAATTGCTCAATCATATAGTAACTCTGCATGGAGTGGCTTGTGAAGGTTAAATTTGATAATTTCAGGAACTTCTTATCCATGCTCCTCACCCACACAGTGGCTTTCCTCCCTCTGCCCCAGGACACCGGAGCAGCTCCTCCCTGGCCTTGCAGTTGGGGGCCCCAGGTCCGATGCTCTGCCAGCTACTTCCTGTATGACCCGTGGACTGTGGATCCCCTTCTCTGACCTACAAGGTAATGGACAGACCAGGCCGTAGGGACAGAGGGTGGTGAGTGTCCCTGCATCCTGGGAGGGTCCCTTGTGTCCTGCTCTCTGTCTGAATGTCCTCTGCCAAGAAACAGATATCAACAAGTTCCTTCTGCCCAGCCAGATTCTCCCAAGGCTCCAGGGGTTCTGAGGGTCCACACTGCCCAAGCTCATCTTGACCCCTGTCTAAGCCAGACGACCAGGCAGATGGTCTGTCTGTCCATCCTCCGGCTATGAGACATGTGGAGGAAGGGGAGATGGGCTGTGCTGCTCCCGCTGGTGGGCCCAGTAAACCTCGTCCCTTGGGGAGGTGACAAGGAGGGCCAAAGCAGAAGACAGAGAGGGGAAGAAGTGAGGAGTCCTGGGGAGCCAGACCATGCTGGGAGGAAGGTCCTGCCTGGCCTCCGATCCATGACCAGTCCTGGCTGTGTCTCTGTCCCCTTCACCAACTATTTCTTTGTGGGTGATTTTCATCCCTGTCTCCACCTACCCATGAGCTCTACAAGGGCAGAGATGGGGTCAGTTTTGATTCCGTTCATGGCTCCACCATCGACCAGAGTGAGAGCTGATGTTTGTTGAATGACTAAGTGACTGTGTGTGTGTGTGTGTGTGTGTGTGTGTGTGTATGTCCCTCCCTGACACCCCTCTCCACCTCCTTCCCAGTCTGTGCCCTCCCCAGGGTGGGAACCCACAGCCTGGGGCTCCACAGGCAAAGGCAGGGCCTGTGAGCTGTGACCCCACTCTGGAAAATGATTAGCGGCCCCGCCCTCAACCTGGGACAGCTGGGGCAGACTTCACCCAGCAAGGAGGAGCTCTGAGAACTTTCTCCCTGGGCTGGGGCCCTGCCACTCCGTGCCACACATGGCCGACCACCAGTGGCCTCTGATCAGGGTCCTTGTCCTGCCATGCCGGGTCAGCTGGTGATGGTCAGCCTGGCAGGGGTGCACGGGGCTTCCAGTACTGCTCCAGGCAGCCAGCTCAGGTCCTCTCTGCCTACACCTGCCCCTTTCTGCTTCTCCCTGCAGGAGGAACAGTGGCTCTGGGAAGGGCTCTGCGGGCAGGGCCTGTGGAAGGCGGCTCTGCTGTGGCAGAGAAGGAGTTGTTGAGCGGGCAGCGGACTTCAAAGGCACGGGGCCAGGCAGGGTCTGGACTGTGCTGCCTTCTCCCAGAACTCCCACCTCTGCATCTGGGGCCATGATGTCCCCAAGAGTGGACTAAGGCCCCAGAGCAGACTGGCCTTCACCTGCAAACTGGGCCCCTGTGTGCAGGGCTGTGTCCCGGGCTCCACTGTGTCGCTGTGTCCAGGCCTGTAGCTGGGAGGCGGGAGGCCTGCTGGTGCGGGAGATCTCACCACAGCAGCGTAGGGGTGCTGAGCCTGCGGGGGCTGGGAAGTAGTGACTGCTGCCTGCACCCCAGAGCGGCAGGCTCATCCGCACATCCATGTTAGGAGGGGTGTGGCAGGGTGGAGAGGGTGGGAGGGGGCGACTGGGTTCTGGGGGTGGGCAGCAAGCCGACTCCAAATTGAGGGCCCAGCAAAGGGTGGCTGTGGGCAGGGGCTGTGTGCGGCGTCACTAGAGAACGGGGTGGTGTTTCCAGCAATGGAGTGTCTGTGTGGAATCAGCCACCCCGCCCTCCGGCTCCTTCTGGGTGACACCCCATCCTCGGGGCTGCCCCCTGGATTTCCTTGAGAAACAGAAGACTGAGGGTGCCGCCCCTTCCTCCCCAGGGCACAGCCTTGCCTCTCAAGAGTTGGGTTCAGAGCCGGGCGCGGTGGCTCAAGCCTGTAATCCCAGCACTTTGGGAGGCTGAGGCGGGTGGATCACGAGGTCAAGAGATCAAGACCATCCTGGTCAACATGGTGAAACCCCGTCTCTACTAAAAATACAAAACATTAGCTGGGCATGGTGGCGCGTGCTTGTAATCCCAGCTACTCAGGAGGCTGAGGCAGGAGAATTGCCTGAACCCAGGAGGCGGAGGTTGCGGTGAGCCGAGATCGCGCCATTGCACTCCAGCCTGGGTAACAAGAGCGAAACTCTGTCTCAAAAAAAAAAAAAAAAAAAAAGAGTTGGGTTCAGGAGCAGCGGGCAGGCCTGGGCACGGCTGGGTGGTCACCTCGGGCGAGGGACGAGGGAGAAAGAGGAACTCTGTGTCCAGGACACTGTGATCCCTGGCCAGGGCCCAGGCCTGGCTCAGAGCACCCCCAGGAGACGTCTGCGGCACGAATGGGGACCGACCGCGCTTTGGACTCCTGCTCACCCACCGCTTTCCGCTCCCCTGAGTGTCGGCTGCGGCGCGGAACCCAGTCCTGACCGGCAGGGGGCGAGCTCGCTCCGCGCTGCCGGCCGGGCGGGTCTGAGTGCGCAGGCGCGGGGATGGGCCGACGCTGCAGTTCCCCAGGTAGCCGCGGGGTGGCGCGGCGGAGGCGGCGAGCGGTCCTCGCGGAGAAGGCCCCTCCGCCACGCCCGCCCCCCGGCGGGTGCCTGGCACCCAGGCCAAGGCCTCTGGGCGTCCGAGGGTGCAGGGGCGACTGCAGGGGATTGCTGGCCTTCACGAAGTGACCGCTGTAGGCAGCGCAGTCGCAGCGGCGGGTGCCCTTTCCAGGGTCACCGGAGTAGGACAGAGCTGGGGGCGGGGGCGGCGCGGCCGGTGGGAACGGTAGGCGTGAGTGGGGCGTGGGTGGAAGCGGGACGCCCCCATCCCCTTCTCCAGGCAGCTGGGTGGGACCTAGGCTGCCCGCACCTGGCCCGCCCTCAGGGCCACATCCTAAGTTTCCACCTGCCAGGCCTCTTTCCTCGCCCACCTCTCTTCCCGACAACCCACACAGCTCCCAGCTGCCTTCCCCCAGCCAGAGCCCTCTCTGCAAAGTGATAACCAGACCAGGTCGCTCCTTCAAGGTTTCCACCGTCCTTGCCTGCTCTGACCTGGGCTGACCCCACCTCTCCAGTTTGATTTCGTTTGTCGTAATTACAGTTTGGTGGTTTCTTCTTGAGAAGGGGGTCTCTTATACCTGGGCTGGAGTGCAGTGGCACGACCATGGCTCCCTGCAGCCTCGAATTCCTGGACTCAAGCGATCCTCCCAGCTCAGCCTCCCGGATAGCCGGGACTACAGGTTTATTACTACACCCAGCTGAGTTTTGTAGTTTTAATAGAGATGGGTTTTTGCCCTGTTGTCCAGGATGGTCTGGAACTCCTGCACTTAAATGACCCACCTGCCTTGGCCTCCCAAAGTGCTGGGATTACAGGCCTTAGCCCAGGCTGGCCTTGAATTCCTGGGCCAAGGAATCCCCCGCCTCGGCTTCCCAGAGTGCTGGGATCACAGGTGTGAGCTCCTGAGCTCTGTCAATTATGTTTTTGTTTGTTTGTTTGTTTGTTTTGAGACGGAGTCTAGCTCCGTCGCCAGGCTGGAGTGCAGTGGCATCATCTTTGTTCACTGCAACCTCCTTCTCCCAGGTGCAAGTGATTCTCCTGCGTCAGCCTCCCTAGTAGCTGGGACTACAGGCATGCGCCACCACGCCCGGCTAATTTTTGTATTTTTAGTAGAGACGGGTTTCACCATGTTGGCCAGAATGGTCTCGATCTCTTAACCTCGTGATCCTCCTGCCTCAGCCTCCTAAAGTGCTGGGATTACAGGCGTGAGCCACCATGCCTAGCCAACATTGTTACAAATTGAGCGGGGCTAGGCTAGTGGGCAAGAATCAGTTTGCAGGGCCCAGTTATTCATTGGGGGAGGTGGACAGGAGCTAGTAACAAGTCGCCTTCTGTCTGTGCTGATTCCTCCAGGAAGACCCAAGGGAAAGGAGTGAGGGTGTCTGGAAGCAGGCTGGGGGCCGGCCACCCCTCCACAGGAGAGAGGTCTGGCTCCTCTGGCAAACCCTGCAGCCCCAGGCAGGCTCCCAGCAGGCGTGGGACTGAAGACTAGGGAAGCATCCTTCCCGACTCTGGGAATCTGGTCTGCCCTGGCAAATCCTGGGCAACCCCACAACCCTTCTCTGTCACAGTGGCCCTGGGGTCAGCAAGCCACCGTGAGGCCAGTGATGCCTTTCCACTCCAGCCTTGTCAACAGAGAAGACGGAATTATGAGGTAGGTACTCAGGTTCCCCAGGGTGGGAGCACCCTCAGGGCACCCATTCTTCTGTGACCATCACTGCATGTTCTCTGGGTCCTTATCATAAAGAACATTCACCAAGCACTTAGGAGCTCAGTGCTCAGGGAGCCGGCGAGTGCCAACTTTAATACGGTAGGGAAGTGAGGCTCACAGGATCACAGGACCTGGATTCCTGCTAAGGTCATCTACTAGGAGGGGACAGAGGTGGCTTTTTTTTCTTTTTTCCTGAGATTAGGTCTTGCTCTGTGGCCCAGGCTGGAGTGCAGTGGTGCATAGTTCACTGCAGCCTTGACCTCCTGTGCTGAAGAGATCCTCCCACCTCAGCCTCCTGAGTAACTGGGACCACAGGTGTGCCCCACCATGCCTGACTAATTAAAACAGTTTTTGGGCCGGGGACAACGGGGCGGACATGGGCGAGCATATTGGCTCTGACTTGGCTGGCATCTTTCACTGGTGTTGGAGGCCTTTTCGGAAGTGGCCGCGCACGGGCTGCTGGAGATGGAGTCCTTCATGCTGGTGGTGGTGTGCACATTGAGCCCCGATATAGACAGTTCCCCCAGCTGACCAGAACCCAGGTGATCTGGATTGAGATCTTAAGTACAACCACGTGGTTCTGGATTCTCTGGCGCTTTTGGCATGACTCAGAAGTCATGCTGAGTCACTGTCGGTCTCCTGATCCTTCCCTCCTGATGACGAAGACTGAAGGTGTAGACTCAGACTCACTCTTTACAAGAGCCAGGTGAGAATTTCAAGGATTATCAACTTTATATTGTACGTTTAAGTTACAAATTAAAGTGGCTTGGTCAAGAATGAAAAACAGTTTTTGGTAGATATGGGATCTCACTATGTTGCCCAAGCTGGTGTTAAACTCCTGGGCTCAAGTGATTCTCCTACCTCAGCTTCCCAAAGTGCTGGAATTACAAGCATGAGCCACCACACCGGGCCCGGAGCTGGTCTTGAGTCAGCCTTGAGGGTCCCTACAGCCCTTGCTGTTAGCACTACCCCACCCTAGCAAGGGGCTTCTGCCCCGCCTCAGTTCCCACCAGGGTGAACTGGGAACAGTGGGCCCTCGGGGAGGGCAGGAATGGGGGGCTGGCCTCTCTGTGGAGCCCCTCCCTGGGAGGAAACCACATCCTTTATGAGCTCAGGCTAATCAGGCATCCAAAGTGGAAAAACCCCACACAAATCAAGGACAGCTGGGCCTGCCCTCTGGCGGCAGCCCCCTCCTCTCGCTCCCCTCACAGGAATCCTGGCAGGCAGGGCACAGTTGGGGGGCAGAGCGGATGGGGCAGAGCGGATCTCAGGGGTGGAGGGTGTGGTTCTCAGGGAGAGGGAGTTCTCTGAGGTCCTCCTCGCTGTGTGAAGTCTGCCCCAGCTGTCCCCTGTGGAGGGCCAGGCCGCTAATCATTTTCCAGAGTGGGGCCACAGCTCACAGGCACTGCCTTTACCTGTGAGGGCCCAGGCTGGGAGTGCCCACCCTGGGGAAGGGACGGACTGGGAAAGAGGTAGAGAGGGGTGTCAGGGAGGGAGGGACACAACACACACACATACGCATAGGAGCGCGTGCAGTCACTTAGTCACTCAACAAACATGAGCTCTCACTCTGGTCAGGCGTGGAGCCATGAAAGGAATCAAGAATGAACCTGTCACTGCCCTGATAGAGTTCATGGATAGGTGGAGACAGGGGTCAAAATCACCCACAAAGAAATAGTTACAGTTGCTGGGCACGGTGGCTCAGGCCTGTAATCCCAGCGCTTTGTGAGGCCGAGGCAGGTGGATTGCCTGAGGTCAGGAGTTCGAGACCAGCCTGGCCAACATGGTGAAACCCCATGTCTACTAAAAATACAAAAAAATTAGCTGGGTGTGGTGGCGGTCGCCTGTAATCCCAGCTACTCGGAAGGCTGAGCCAGGAGAATGGTTTGAACCTGGGAGGTGGAAGTTGCAGTGAGCTGAGAAGATTTTGCCATTGTACTCCAGCCTGGGCAGCAAGAGTGAAACTTTGTCTCAAAAAAAAAGAAAGAAAAAGAAAAGAAAAATCGAAGAAATAGTTACAGTCTGTGAAGGGGGTACAGATGTAGCCAGAACGCTGGTCCTGGATCTGAGGCCGGGCAGGGCCTTCCTCCCAGCATGGCCTGGCTCCCCAGGGTGGGTGAGTAGATCTCAAATGAGACCTTCCCCTCCTCTTGCCCTCTCCGTTTCCTCCTGCTTTGGCCCTCCTTGTCACCTCCCCAAAGGACGAGGTTTACTGGGCCCAGCAGGGGGAGCAGCACAGCCCATCTCCCCTCCCTCCGCATGTCTCACAGCCGGATGGACAGACAGAACATTTTCTTGGTCGTCTGGCTTAGACAGGGGTCAAGATGAGCTCGGGCAGTGTGGACCCTCAGAACCCCCGGGGCCTTCGGGGATCTGGCTGGACAGAAGGAACTTGTTGATGTCTGTTTCTTGGCAGAGAAGGACATTCAGACAGAGAGCAAGATGGAAGGAACCCTCCCAGGCTCAGTAGCTCACACTTGTAATCCTAGCAGTTTGGGAGCCTGAGGCGGGTGGATCACGAAGTCAGGAGATCAAGACCATCCTGGCCAACATGGTAAAACCCCGTCTCTACTGAAAATTCAAAAATTAGCTGGGCATGGTGGCACATGCCTGTAGTCCCAGCTACTGGGCAGGAGAATTGCTTGAACCCTGGAGGCAGAGGTTGCAGTGAGCTGAGATTGCACCACTTCACTCCAGCCTGCTGACAGAGCGAGACTCCTTCTCAAAAAAAAAAAAAAAAAAAAAAAAAATTAGCCAGCTACTCTAGGGGCTGAGGCAGGAGAATCACCTGAACCCAGGAGGCAGAGGTTGCAGTGAACCAAGATCACACCCCTGCACTCCAGCCTGGGTGACAGAGTGAGACTCTGTCTCAAAAAAAAAAAAAGAGTTCAGTCAGCTTCCATCTGTTTCACTTCTGGGAACACCATGGCCCACAGGTCAATGCCGTGGGTCTCTGTGAGTCAGATTACTGTATAGGGCTGAGGGCCCCACAGGGTCGTGGGGTGTCCCTTATGCTGTGCTGAGGTGCAGGATCCCAGAAATAGACAGGATGCAGAAGTACAAGGAAAATGCAGCTGGGCTCAGGGGGGCACGCCACCTATGAGCAGAGTCAGGGAAGGCCCCAAACGTCCAGAATCATGAGTATTTATTGTGTATAGGTTAGGGGGCAGGGCAGTGAGTGAAATCATCTTTAAGGACAGTGATAGGGCCGTGAGCAATAAAACAAGTGGTCCACCCCCATTAGGTCACCTAGGCCAGGAGGTGGACAGTGCGCAGCAAGGGCCTGTTCCCATGAAGGCAAGGGCTGTGTGCAGTAAGGGGTCCACCCCCATTAGGTCACCAAGGCTTAAAGGTGGGCCATGCACAGCCTTGGTGGTGCATGGTGGGCCATGCACTATCTATGGGAAACTACTTCTAAGAAGATTTATGGAGGGATGCTTTAAGTCACACAGCAGTGACAGAGCTGTCAGGGTTACCGCCATCTGTTGGCAGCTTCCAGTGAGTTCTATGGGAAGATGCTTTTTGAACAGCACAGTAGAAACAGCTGGTAAAGTTCACAGTCACCAAGGTGGATTGCCGTTCTGAGGGCAGCCTTCTGCAAGAACTGGAGCAAGGTCCTACAACTCCTTTATCAGGAGGAGTGGCCCTCACCCCAAGCCTGCCATACAGCGGGTAAATTTACAATACTGAACGCTGCTGCCTGGGCCATGGATTCTTGTCCTGGTATAACTGTTTTCCCTGAAATCATGCCCTGCACTGTGTCTGCGCCAGACATTCCTCCAACTATAAGCTGCTTATTCCTTAATTCATGCTCTCTACTGTGTCCACTCTAGGCATTCCTCCGATTATGAGCTAAGATATAGTTATATATACGTATAGGGGAATGACTGAGGGGTGAGATTTTCTTTAGGCGCTCCTTCTATGAACTATTATATGATTATGTATAGAGGATTGTATAAAGGGAAATGACTGAGTGGTAAGACTATAAAGTGAGATATTCTTCAGGCCTTAATTGTGCCAGGGTTCTGCTTAGCTCTCCTTCCTCGGTGCCTAGGTGGGGGGTTACCCACATTACTGTGATCGCTGATTGAATGCTGTTCACTGCGGCAGCCACGTGCACCTTGTTTTGAGCCTTTGAGCCCTGCCACCTGGCCCCTGCTACCCGGGATCCAGCTACTCCCCTCCACATAGGTTTCCCAAGCCAGGGACTGCAGTTGTATAATTCCAGACCTGCGGGAGAAAAGCGATCACAGAGCTCTTGAAGGAGGCGTGTTCCCCTCACAAATTTATTTCTCATGGCAGTAGTAAGAGGCGTGTCTTCTGTTCTCTCCCAGGGTGGGGGAGTAGGTCTCAAATGGTAAATCCACTCTGACGCTCCAACCTCCCGAAGCTTTTGAGTCCCATTCTCTACCGTGCACAGAGGCAGGCCTGGCATTTCAGCCTCACTTTGTGTAGGTCACTTTTGACCTACACAACCACTCAGAGCTTTTTTTTTTTTTTTTTTTTTTTTTTTTTTATTTTAAAAGAAGAAAGCTATGAAAATTCTAGGATAGAGATATAAAATATATGGGAGGCTGTTATATAATCCACCAACTGAATAAGCTGTCTCTGCGTGATCTTGAGGCAAATAAGATTCCAATAATGTCTCAGCTGCTCCCTCTCTCCTGGCCCC